TCGTTTTCTGTGCGTCAGATATGTATAGTTTTTTTCCTTTATCATGTGAAGGTAATAGCTGCCATATGAAGGAGAAAAGACGTTGGAATAGAGGGATCTGAGGACGTCGTTTTCCACTTTTCAGTTTTAGTAACTGTGCAGTGTATAGATAAAAATGAATAATGCGAATATATTACTTCGACATTTATCTATAAGCACACAACATACCTTTTGTATCAAATCACTGTAACATATTTAATTATTTTTTCCCCTCAGAAGGTCACAGTAACGGGGTAGCGCTGCCCCTTGAACCTACCCTTCAAAAGTAGTTAATTTTGCATATGTTGATAGTGGTTGGGGAAAAAGTTTGTGTTTATTTATTTGAATTAAAATAAAGTTACCGAATTTCAACAGTTTTAATTAAAGTATGTCGTCCTTGGCTTAAAAATACACGTAATGTTGGGGACGTCGATTGACCTTGTCATTCCCATTAAATCGACGTCGGTACAAAACTGAAAAGTGCACAATGATTTCACATTTTTTCCAGCCAAGAAAAATTCAGCGTCTACCTTGGAGTTTTCTTAATTGAATTTCATAACAGAAAGCTATGGAAATTAATATTCCTAACTGTTTTCCACCTCTTTGTTTGGACGTCTGCTTTTTTACGTCACTCCTCTTTCTCGATATAATATCCCTCTTATGACGTCAATATTTAGTGATAGCCGCTGGCTCTTGGGCTGATTTTTGTTGAAGCATATTTGTTATTGACTTGTGTACGATCATGGACAAGAACTAGACATCTTCAAAGTGTTGTTTTGGTGTTTGTGGTGAATGATTGAAATTTATATTGTACTAGGGGTAAACTGGCATTACTTTGTGTTTATATATGATCCTTTGAGGTGCCTTCAGATGCTATTAGTCAAAATTGCTAGTGAAAATCGCTTATTTTAAGAGATTTAAGGGATCTTCAGTGGCTGAGGCTCCGCACCGATATCGACGTCCTTTTGAAATACTGACGTCCTTGCGGCTTCAATCACACTCTCCTAAAAATCAATTTCAGGACACTGGAGCTGCAGGATGGTGTGTTCACACGGACTCGAGTTGACAGGGCTGCAGGGTGGTGTGTTCACACCGACTCGAGTTGACAGAGCTGCAGAGTGGTGTGTTCACACCGACTCGAGTTGACAGGGCTGCAGGGTGGTGTGTTCACACCGACTCGAGTTGACAGGGCTGCAGGGTAGTGTGTTCACACCGACTCGAGTTGACAGAGCTGCAGGGTGGTGTGTTCACACCGACTCGAGTTGACAGGGCTACAGGGTGGTGTGTTCACACCGACTCGAGTTGACAGGGCTACAGGGTGGTGTGTTCACACCCTGCGCACGTCCTCCGTCAGAGGCGGCCGGTCGGGCCACCTCCGACAGCTCAGACGGCCCGCGGCCTAATGTGGCCGTCCATCCGACAGGTCGCTCCGCCCGGGACGCCGGCGATCTGCACACGGAGCCGACAGTCGCGACCGACAGCGGTCCCGCGGGGCGTACAGCTCGGCGACAGTGCAGCCCTGCGCGGACACTGGACATCAGGACACGGGCTGGCGCGGGCGCAGCGGCATCCGGCGGCTGTCCCCGACAGCAGCGAGCCAGAGCGGCTGGAAAACATCTCCTTCGAGTGCTTCTATGCATGTAAACGGCACCATCTTCCGCCTTCAGGCACCGTCGTCTGCCGCTCCAAACCACCCAGCCGCGTATTCTGAGGCGCCTCTCCGCCCTGAAAGGTAGCGTGTTTGGTGCCGGCACAACACCAACACAACACCTTTTCAGCGCGGTGAGCTCCTCACGCGGTTCGGCGTGTGTGCCTACTCGCCGAGATGAGTTTGGCCTAAAAGCGGGCCCGGGGCGGTACACGCCAGCCTTTGTGTCTGCCGACGTGTCGTCCATTTAGTCGCTGAATCGGCCAGTTTGACAGCGGAGGAGACGGGCGCCTGCGGAACGTCGCCGGCGCGGCGGACGGCCGCGGCGGGCGGACGGACGGAGCGGCGACACGCACCGGCCGGGCCGCCGCCGTCTGCGCCCCCGGGGACACGCCGCCGCTCACAGCAGCAGGGCCGCTGCTCACCGGCCGCTCACCAGACGAGCCGGCCGCCGCCGACAGAACCGGCGTGCCGCCATCCTCAGCGGCACTAATTTAACGCCACCGCCGGCTTCTGACTAAAGGGAACAACAAAAAGACCGGGTGAACTGGCTTTGGAAGTCCGGAGACATCAAGATAATTTGACGGGTCGTGGCTTGTAATTACATACTGGCCCTTCTCCTCAGGCAGCCTCGTGATGAAGACTCCTGTCAGAGTTATATTTCCAACAGAGAAAAGTCTTTCGTAATTCACTAATTCACGCGGATGTTTTTTTTTATAAGGCGCCTTAATGTCACCGGTGACACGTGATCTGCTACTGTCACCATTCATGTTGTGTTGGAGTCATACAGAGAGGTGATTTTCTTCCCTTATCCCTCATACTTCCTTGCCTAACCATACTCAAGTAGCCTTGAGTCTAGAATGAAAATGTGCAAACGATATCTACCGCTCTCCCAGTGTTTTCGCACCTCAGGGGTCTCACAGCCATCCAACACCGCAGCTACCACTGTCAGGGACAACAGACCACCCCACGAGGCTAGAGAGCTTTGGTCACCAGGGAAACCAGCTCTCGGCAGCCTCACCGCTGCCACCGTCGCTCGCTGGGTCACTTTAAACAGGTACCTATAATAATATCAACACAACAAATTAAGAAACTACCACAGTGCTGAAACGGCTGAAACTACACAGAACGATTGAAGTAAGAACGAGCGAGCGAGCTAAAGCATGGCAAGGTTCCGAACGAAGCGAAGAAAGGAAAAATAAAGCTAGATGGGTGATCACCCGGTTATTAGGTAGTTGTGCATTGTGCTGTGAGTGCGATACATTTTGCAGATTCTAGAAGGCATACTAAGATCCATTTTTAGGTTTGTCCGAACGGAAGCTGAGGATGGCAAACAATGTCACTTTAGTGACTGATTGCACTATACACGACAGCGGCAGCGCTCTTACAAAGGAAGCCAGCCTCGAGCGCACAAACCGGAGAAAACGCTGATTGAATTTCTGAGAAGGTGGCGCCGGCCGCGCGGGCACTGCCGAACGGCGGCGGACAATCGTGCCGCCGAGTTATCCGAGCGCGCGTCGCCGAGTTGGGCGGCCGCGCTGTCAGAGGCGGCCGGACCGAGACGACGGCACGACTCCCGGCGGAGGTGTGGACGGCGCCGCGCCGCCACCTATCGGCGGGGAGCGACCCTAACTGCCGGACCGCCGCGGCGCGTCGTCCCGAGAACTTCGGACCGGACACTGACAGCCCCCGGGAGACAGCCCGCAGCGCGGGTTAGAGGGGAGACGGGAACTGAGACAGAGCCAGGTCAGGGACAGGTCCCTACCAGCCAGCGCCTCAGCGACAGTACGTATAGAACCATAGATAGATACCCGGAGTCCGAAAGCCCCACTGAACTACCAAAGTCAAAGCCTGAAGACCGACTAAAGACGGAGCACGCGTCTGCGAGAACAGTTGGCGGGGTAACAGTCACCGGTGGAGGCAGCGAGTCGGTCCTGAGCTGGGCGGCCTGTGTCCATCTCGGCTGGCCCCAATGACCCCTGGCGGACGTCCCATCGCCCCGGCGGGAGGCGACAGACGGAATGACGTCACGCAGCGGACGGATGACGTCTCGCGCCGGCGTCTGACAGACAGGTCCTGGGACGCGGCTGTCGCGCGGACACGGTTACATGTGGGTCAATTGACTCGCGTTCCCCACAGTCACACAAGACAAACGAGCGGCCTCTGTACCGCCAGACGGCAGAGGTTTAAGGATGAGACGAAACACGAGAATAAAGGCCTGGCTACACTATGCGTTTTCTTCGTGCGTTTTTTGCGTGTTTGCGTGTTTTGCGTGATATCCTTCTAGAAAAAAGAACAATATTACGTTTTTGTGATGTTTTTCACCTTAAATTTTAGTTACATAAGAGTTATATTAGCTTTTGTATATAACCAAAGTAAAAATTATATTGTTTATAACTTTTTTCCTAGAACGATATTACGCAAAACACGCAAACCTGCAAAAACGCACGCAGAAAACGCATAGTGTAGCCAGGCCTTAATGTGGGAAGAAGAGAACAGCAGATTTGGGCGAGACGCCGCGCTGATGAATGGAATGTGCGTGGAAAGAGAGACGAAGATCCGTGTTAGTTAAAAAGTGTCACCGGTTACCTGTCAAGATTGGCACGCGCCAGAGATGTCATCTAGCTAGGAATGTTAACGCGACACAAATAGACAACGGACAACGTTAGCTGGCAGATATGAATCAGGGTATATTGAATTAGGGATATGAATTAAAAGAAATATAGTTCCAAACATAGAACAAGAACATGGGTCTAAATTTGGATTCGGTGTCACTCAAAACAGCTACGGTAAATACGGGCTACATCACGTCATGAGCACCTAAAAACTGGCAACTAGATGGTGAAGGAAAATGCAGGTATTCACAATTCCTTGTATTGAAAACGCTTACCCCTTTAGGCCCTAAGAACCCTCTCCCTCAATGAATCTCGCAGAAAAAAAATACAAATAAAAAACTTCGCCTTATGGCGAAGCCTTTCAATGCGGATGCATTCGCTCTAGATTACAATACCAATTGGGAAGATTTGGTAGGCAAGCTACGTCCTCAATAGAGTATGTAACGCAAGCTGAGTAGAGAATCGGAGAGTGCTAAATGACGGCGGGACTGGCTATTTCGCTTCAAACAACCACACAAATAGTTGATCTCTATGTGATGTCCCGCAACAAAATGCATCTAAAATCTTCGCGACAGCGAAGCGGTCGATGCTCAAAGAAGACCTGAACCTCCCAAGCGTCAACGGCAAAATATACGTCTTTTTACCGGGGACACTTTTACTGGCACCACAATCGAGCTTGTATTTCTTAGAATGGGTTTGATCGCCAGTCCGGGGCTCACCTGGTCCGTGGACTTTGGAGTCGTTGAGACTGTCTCCTCAGCGGGTGGTTCACTGGCAGAACCCGCGCCGGCCGGTCCCGCAGGCGTCTCGGAGTCGGCCGGTTCTTCAGGCGTCTCGCAGTTGCCGACCTCCTGCTGCATCCCGTGTTTGACCAGAGCACTACTGGTCCCACCATCCCGCGTACCGGCACTTGAGGCAGGGCCAGCGGGCGGCAATGTAACACCACCTGTCTCCGCACCTCTCTGCTCGCACACAGCTGCCCCAGACTGCTGCACTTCACTCTGACTCCCACCGGCACTCTCCCCACCCTCCACAGCCGTGAGGACAGCAGGACCCGCCACCTGGGTAGCCTCAGACGCCATTAGCCGAAACCCTGGACACCGATGGCTGACTCCAAGGGTGAGGAGTGGAGGCACCAGGGCACGATGCACGCAGGAGACTGTCAGCTCGGTCAGCAGGCCAAGGTGTCTGAACATCCAGCTGTAAAAATGCAAAAAGATGAAAATGGACCCAAATCCCTCATTGTCCATTTTCTAGATATAAATCGTCCACAGAAAACATGGTCAAGATGCACAAAAATAATTGAATATTTATTTTACATGAATTTCTGGCTGAAAGCCTGAATACTATCTTTATATTGATATCTCAGTGCCCAGTGGGAATTGGGGTGCTTTGCAAAGTCATCTAATTCTTTACTTTGCATCTTCATTGCCTACCACTTCAATGAATTTTACAGTTTCTTACCTTACGCGGAAAATTAGGAGTCGTGCGTCTAAAAACGAAAGTCACCGAAATTCGAGCAATTTTGATTTCAATAATCCTATTACTATTGCTTTCGTATTATCACGTGATACCACCGCTTCCAAAGATTTGTCTGCGTCACGATCGTAATACGTGCGCCGGCGGATTTTTATGGTCTAAGAGACTTGCTGCTAGTAAATAGAAAAGTGTTGTTATTATGAATATCATAGAACAAATCAGGAAAAACACACATTTCTTTTCAATATTAGATTCCTGATTTACCCTTCGTACTTAGTTATTTTGATATAAGGCAAATATGCATTCGAATAAATACTTCTGTTGGCTTTTTTTGTTACTAAAACTCCAGCATGTAGCTGGACAGGCATGCTGATTTCCCAGAAGAGATAACATCCCCAGATTTATCTATTCTTCGCAATGCTTCCGGGTGCATGGCAAGATTAGGAATGCAACGTTTAGTGTCATCATACAGCCCTTCACGCTCATCGAACTCATCTGACCGGTACGGCGGCCCTCGACCACTGCCACCATCTGCTGGCCGCACCCGTCGGAGGCAGAGTGACCAGCACCAAATCGGCTCAAATCGGGCGCTCATCAACGTAACCGGCTGGCACAGGAGTCGGCACTTTCATGTCAGATGTCAAGATGGTCGAGCTGTCAAGATGTCAGATGGTCACTAGCTGGGGAGAACATAAACACCTATCTCAATGCTGTCGGTGGTTGTCGCGGTCATATCCAGCTTTCGGGAGTGTCAGTCTCACTCAGCTCGTGATCTAGTTTTTAAACTCAGTGCGCCAGCTACCGTTTTCGCTAGTTAGACGCCAGTGCAACAGCCCCACCATCAGCTGCCATCAGCACCAAGCAATGCTATGAGATGCAGCGCCGGCGGCCGTTCTATATACGTGCTATCCATTCAATAGGGGTTCCAACGTTCCAACGAATCCTTTCCTGATATATTTGTTACATTTTCCAGCGATTAAGCCAACGAAACACGACGCTCTCATGGTATAGTTGGTCAATCAACTTTGATAAGAACTCGTACTCAATCGCATTGACACGCGAGCAAGAGAGGTCTGAAAAAAAACTGAAATTCACACCTTGACTTTCAGATGCAGGAACATCACTAGAAAGCAAAGCAATTATAAGCCCTACATAGTACATCTCACGTGGAATCCTATCTCACATCAACCGGGAAAGAGGCACGCCAGTGAACACCGCAATGACATGAGCAATAACATCATTTACATACGCCTTTACCAGTCGAGTCTGACGCAGAAGAGTGAAGAAGGGCAGGTTTAAATTAGTCGTACATGACCATCGAGTTCACACACTTGCAAAACTAATTGAGTATGGACGACATTCAAAATAATATGCTCGGGAATCCTCGAACAGTAATTCATACAAAATCAACAATAAAACTTATCGTACGACGCTATCGCACACCATTGAAATAGTCCCAGAGCACAAAAGGCATCTGTTCCATCAACATTTCCTCTGAACACCTATCATCACCACGCACTAATCCGCCTGGGCCTCCTCCAGGAAGCGATTAGGGTAGAAGACCAGTCCCTGGATGGACTCGTCGCGACACGCGCCGCCCTTGGTCTCCAGGTAGAGGAGGCGCTGTTTGGCCAGCAGCACGGAGACGCCGGCCAGCGCGGCCAGCTGCTGGGCGGTCAGCGTGCCGCGCTGGGCCAGCAGGCGGCGCGTGCTCTCGGCCACCGCGTCCTGGTCCAGCTCTGCCAGCTGCAGCAGCCGCACGCCCGACGGCAGCTCGTGCAGCCGCAGCGGCAGCGCCAGCCGCGTCATCTGACGGCCCGCCGACAGCAGGTCCTCCGGCGAGATGAGCTCCAGGCCGCGCGCCCGGTTCACGCGGCAGTAGGCGTCCGTCAGGGTGAGCATGCCGCCGGCCTGGCGCGCTGGCGCCTCCAGCATGGTGGCCAGCTGGCGCGCTAGCTCGGCGTGGTAGCGGTCGCCGGAGCCGTGCGTGCCCCGCGTCACCGGGTCGTCCACGCCCAGACTGAGCAGCTGGGACTGGAAGCGCACCGTCTCGTCCTCGCTGATGCCGCCCTGTTTCTCGGTGATTTTGGCCGAGATCTGGCGGCTGAGCGCCACCATCTCGCGGGCGGCCTCCATCAGGTTGGTGAGGTCGCGGAACGCCTCCGAGATGCTCCGGTTCTGCTGCTGCTGCTCGGCCACCAGCTTCTTCTCGATGCCGACGATGCCGGCGCGGTAGCCGCGCTTGTCACCGGACGTGCCGGCCGACAAGCTACCCGTCTTCACCCACTCCTCCCGAGACATGGTCTCCTTCAGGCGCGAGAACATCTCGTGCATGCCACCCGAGCGGAACGACAGCTTGATGTGGCTGTGGCTGCTGCGGTTGACGGGACCCGCCGGTCGGCCGGGCGCCGGGGCAGATAGGTGCGCCACTATCTTGTCACTATGGAAGAATGTGTGGTCCTCTTTCTCAGCAAGGACAATGTATTTGAGCGGCAGCGCCAAACATGATCCATTTGCGTTACGCCAAAGAAGCCGATGTGTTGTCAAAGTCAAATGACCACCCTCAAAGTCTGTCTTATTGTCACCATCATAGAGTTGAATGTTCTTTTGTTGATACACTTCTGTTTCAGCAAAGAGAAGGGTTCCATCACTCCATTCAAAACGATCCATTTTCTTCTACAGCAACTTCAATGTTGTGAGTATCTGCAATATTGAAAATCACAAGAAAATATCAAAGCTTGCTTCTAAGCACAAATATACAACTATGTCAAACTCAAAACAAACAAGGCTGGTAACAGATTGAGCTCTTTTGTTCACCTTCTTCAGGATGTCTTTTTACAAGAAACCAAACCTTAAATATAAGTTCGAATGAATAAGCATTAACCTTAGTCCAACAGTGGCTTATATTAAATTTAGTAATGGAAGAATAGCATTAAAATGAAGAGTTAAGCAATCAAATATGCTTTTGGGCAGAACCCCCAACCACCATCCCCCCTGCGCCTGGATCAGACCGTCGGGATGAGGTCCCTGATGGTAACGGGGGCCTCACACCTCGTGGTCGCCCCAGCGTGGAAGCGGGAGGTGAGAAGAGCGCCAACGCCCACCAACTAGACGGGCCCCCCAACCTTGACAAGCCCAGGGAGGCAGAGCAGGCTGCCGCCCTTCACTGCAGTGAGAGATCATCTCGCCAGGGTCAACCCCAAACTACTGAAGAACCAGCACCCAACCAGGGGCCAGATAACCCAGAACCCCAGAGGATCTGACTAGACCAGCGAGGCTGCCACGCTATTACCAAAGGCTTATCTGTATTGTATACAAACGCTGATCAGTTTGTCAGCAAGCGAGATGATATGTGCCAGTTGATTTGTGGAGAGGAACCAGAGCTTATCCTCATCACGGAGGTGATACCGAAGGCTCAGCGGCTACCCATATCACCAGCTCTACTTGAAATCCCAGGATACACACTATACAGTAACTTTGAGCCGGAAACCCCAAACCTAGGGACCAGTGGCATCAGGGGAGTATCCATCTATGCATCAAACCAACTCAAAGCCTCGGAAATATCCATCTCAAGTGCAGGTCAAGCTGTGGAGCATGTCTGGATTAAATTGGCACTCACTGGGAGCGACAGCTTAATCATAGGGTGTGTATACCGCAGCCCCTCCTGTGCCCTGGAAGAAAGTGTGCAACACACTGACAATATCTTCAAGGAAATTGTTTCAATGCCTGCTTCCCATATACTGATCACAGGGGACTTCAATCTTCCCCAGATTGACTGGACAATGGAAACTTCATCTGCTCCAGCTCCTCATGCTTCTCACATGTTCATAGAAACAGTTCAAGACTGCCTCCTGTATCAACATGTGTACCACCCAACTCGATACCGATTGGGTGAATCTCCGAATGTCCTAGACCTCATATTCACAAATGAGGAGGGTATGGTGAAAAACCTCCAATACCAGCCAGGTTTGGATAGAAGTGACCACCTGATTCTGAGATTCAACCTGGCCTGTTACTCAGACATGTCACTGCCACGTCAACACAAGGTCACTGACTATACCCGCCTGGCGGGGATGCTCGGGGCACATGATTGGAGCCGCCTTATTGAAATGGATCTTGATGAAGCCTACACTGCATTTAAAACCACCATATCCAAAGCTACGGAGAAGTGCTCCAAAACCAAAAAGGCGCGACACAAAAACATCTACTTGAACCGTCAAGCAATGCAATTAAGGAAGAAGAAAAAATCCCTGTGGGATGTATACTCCATCACTCTGGACCCTGTGGATCATGCCAGATTCACCCGATGCCAAAACGAACTGAGAAGCTTGGCCCGGAAACTCAGAAAAAGCTTTGAGTCCAGCCTGGCTCAGGACCTGAAACAGAATCCCAAAGCGTTTTGGCGGTACGCAAGTTCCAGACTCCGAACAAGGTGCCGAGTTGAGGACCTTCTGGACGACCGTGGAGTGCTCGTCTCTACCAACGAAGAAAAGGCTGAGACACTGAGTGCCTTCTACGGGACCATCTTTACCGAGGAAGGAGACGAACCAATGCCGACAATGCGCTACCGCTGGGAAGGACCCACTCTTGAAGATATCGACGTCTCTCCGCAGTTAGTGGAGAAGAAACTTGCAGCCCTCCGACCAGGTAGCTCCCCAGGGCCGGACGCCATCCACCCCCGCGTGCTCCGGGACTCATCACACGCTCTGTGTACCCCGCTCAGCATGATCTTTCGAAAATCTCTAGACGCAGGAGAGCTCCCTCCGGACTGGAAATCGGGTGAGGTAGTCCCAATCTTCAAAAAGGGAGATCGCCGAAAGCCAGAGAACTACCGTCCTGTAAGTCTCACTGCAATTCCTGTCAAAATACTGGAGTCAATCATCCGAGACAGTCTTTTGCAACACTTCTGCGGGAACGGTATTCTGCACAGTTCCCAACATGGATTCCTCCCACGAAAGGTCGTGTACCACCCAACTCATGGAGGTGATGGAGCACCTGAGCGCCTGTATGGAGGATGGCGACCCGGTTGACGTAGCCTACCTTGACTTTGCCAAGGCGTTCGATTCTGTGCCTCATCATCGACTAATCCACAAGCTCCAAGCGTACGGCATCAAAGGCAAACTTTTGGACTGGATCAGGGCCTTTTTGCTCGATCGCCGACAAAGGGTCGTGATCCAAGGCACAAGATCGAGATGGACGAGTGTCCTCAGCGGGATACCACAGGGCTCAGTCCTTGGGCCAGTTCTCTTCACGATCTTCGTAAACGACATGCCCCTGGAAGTCTCCAGCCACATAAAGCTCTTCGCCGATGACACGAAGATTTACCGCCGGATGATGGTCAATCAGGATGACGTTGGCCTGCAAGCCGACATTGACGCGCTTGGTGAGTGGTCCCGAAAGTGGATGCTTCCTCTCAATGTCGCGAAATGCAAGGTAATGCACATTGGGCACCAAAATCCAAACCTGACCTACACCCTGCACGGTACCCCGATTGAAGAAACCGACGAGGAAAAGGACCTTGGCATCGTCATCGACAGTGACCTGAACTTTAAGAAACAGGCATCAGTGGCTGTATCAAAAGCTCGTCAAATCCTGGCTGTATTGAGACGCTCTTTTGCAAACATCAACGAGACAACACTACCTCTGCTCTTCAATGCTATGGTCAGGCCGCTGCTGGAATACGGGAACACGATATGGGGACCTTTTAGCATAGGCAACCAGAAGAGACTGGAACGAGTTCAGCGTCGTGCGACAAAAATGGTCCACTCCGTGAGCCACCTGACATATCCTGAACGACTACGTAGCCTCGGAATGCCGTCACTGTACTATCGCCGACGCCGAGGTGATATGATCACCGTGTACCAGCTGCTGCACGGAGGCATGGCGCTGACACCGGAGGAGTTTCTGATACGGAACGAGTCTGACCGGACAAGAGGACACCGCTGGAAACTGGACAAGCCACGGGCTAGGAAGCTTGTGCGCAGAAACGCCTTCAGCACCAGAATAGTCAACGATTGGAACTCACTCCCAGACTCCGTAGTGTCAGCGACATCGGTGAACCAATTCAAGGCGCGGCTGGACAATCACTGGAAGAACAAGATGTACGACATCCCCTTCCCCTAAGAGTCCAGAATGTACATCCTCACGAGCTCGATGAGAGCGGGATCCTCAGGCCAAGTGGCCTTCTTTAACCCGAACACCTTGAAGGTAAGGTAAGGTTGAACTGCACCATACGGTCACAGCTGATTAACGCCTGCAGGCTGGTCTGGATCTGTCAGCCATGTTTTTCTGCCAAAATAAAGGTTTTTCTCCTTATTCTCACTAGCTGGCTAATGATGCAGATAGTTTGTTCGCAGTTTCGCCTTTACATCGGCATCCTGTATGGTTCAGTACTGGGCACAAATGGGTCATGGATCAGTGAAAGGATTGTGCAGTCCGCCTTTTTAGTAGGTATGCCATCACTGTTCCTCACGACCCTCTCTTATTTTCCTGTTTCTCATTTACCGCATTTGGTATAGACTTTCTTTATTCCGTTCTATGTCTTGAAAATCTTTGGTGAACAAAAAATTTGCAATAACCCTTTCCCTGTCCTCTTCATACAGTTGTTGGAGCTCAGGCATCGATATTCTTATCAGCGTTACCGCTGGCATCTCGCTGGTTTCCCCAGATTCTCACGAAAATTTCCCTATTTTGAAAATCATTTCCCTAGATACCGTTATTTTCCTGGAATTTGACGTACTTTTCTCATTTTAACCATAGGTGTTATAGTCGCTGCGTCCTAAACAGCAGTTAACTACATTCTGTTACGTTAACGTAAAAGATTCTAATGAAATTGCTGGCATATAGCAAAATACTGTATGTGGTATAATATAAGTGCGCGGTATATCGCAAATTGTGGTGTGTTGCGGGACGCGGGAAACTATACCGTATAGGTAGTGCTGGCGATAAGAGACGAGTCGATGCATTATTTCGCATGCCGTCAGTTTGACCGTAAAGAAGTGAAATGCGCTAGAAATTGTAAAAATCGCGCCAAAACAAAAACTTTGATGTAAAAAATTAGCCGCACCCTATATGGTACAATACAAAGCATGGAAGCAGTTTGTTTTGAAATAATAGCAAGAGTCATATATGCATGCATACATAGGTATGTAATTCCCCCTATATGTATTTAAAACGAGAGCATCAAACCTGAACTTTGTGAAAAATGTTCTCATACCTATTTATTTCATATGACATGACATGCGGAAGAATAATTTATGACAACAATGATTTCGATTGTTGAAAAAACAACAATTTTTTCGGGTTTGTGGTATTTCCCTAGATTTTGTGCGAAATCCATAAATCCCTAGATCTTCGCTGATTTCCATAGAAAAGGGAAATTTCCCTAGCAGCGGTAACCCTGATTCTTATAGCCGAAAGTTTTCCACATACCAGCAAAAAGTGCTCAAGGTTATCTTCCCCTGTCTTGCAAAGCTGACTTTAGACAGCTCAAACAAACAATTTCTTCGGTCTTCCTTTCATAATATTACTATATATAATTGGTCATTATCACTTCTCACAAAGAAGTAAAATGAATAAAATATAATTAAAAATAAGCAATTATGACATGAGCCTTCAGCAAAATTATATCCGCAACAAACGGAACTTGTGCGGCATAATTGAGTCACAAAGTAGCATCGTAAATCTAGCGACTTTTTACAAAGGTAAAGACTGTAAGACACTGTAAGGCAGTAAGGCCAAAGACTTCAAGTAGCCAAAACTCAAACTTGTTTTATGAAAAGCAAATTTTTAGCCTTCCTTACGTTTCTCTTCAAATTTCAATCATTTGTACTTTCTTTTGGTCTAAGAGGTCTAAGAGAATACTTCTCTCTAGAAGTCTTGCTAGAAGTCTTCAAACTCAGAGAATTTTAAGATGCTCTTACGAAAATGAGAACGTCAGAAAAGCAAAAATGCCTTCTGAATGATATGTGCATGATAGCATTATGAAATATCAATAACAATTTTAAAGTAAACCAGCGAGCACTAGTTATGTAGAAATAAATGAAAATAAATACCATAAATACCTGTGAGAGAGTATTTGTTACGAACGAGCCAAACTTGTGCTCACTGTGTTCACTGTGTTTGTGATGGCTTTCGAAAGCTGAATTGAAGGTCTATGATTCGTTGAAAAACGCTCGTGGTTGAAATATCGAGCTGTGATTCGCTTATTGCAGGTTTGCTGACAACACCAGCTGCTGGTTTCGAATAGAAATAACAGAGCTTCTTTCGCCATTCGCTTTGTAGAGAACCTTCTCGTACGATTGCCCGCGTGGTTTTTGTCGCCCTTGGCCTGCGGTCGTCTTTCGCGTTTCGATTTTGATTTATCGAATTTTTCACCCACGCTGGAGATTAATTGCTTTGCGGTGTTGTATTCAATTGACATTTTGCGTGGAGAAACGCCAAGACATTGGTCTCGTTTTAGTTTGTGATAGTTCCTTGCACTCAGTTTCGAGCTGAGTCATGTCTGATAATACGTTGTATCAGCTTCTTGGAGTCAGCCGTAATGCGTCGGATGGAGAAATTAAAAAGGTAGGTATTACTAGACTATGACCATTACAAATCTTACCTGTTAAATTTTCCCTAAGCTTAATAATGAGGTGTATGTACTTCATGAAAAGCATGTTAAATAATATGTGTCTGTGGGCTGATTCACGGCACGACACTGCGAGCTATGCGCAGCAGTTTATAGGGTTTCCATCGAAGCATCAACAAGCCCAGATGCTCGCAATGCTGGAGCATTAAGCCAAATTTGTCTTGAACACCTCACCAATACAGCAACAAAGTGTAGCACACTGTAAGGTAAAATCCCTCTTTGCACTCTGGGCTCAAAATTGAAGAAAAACCACAGCATACTGTCAGAATTGTGTATCAACCTAGAAAATTGTTCATACAATCATTAAATGCTTTAAAAAAACAGGTACAATACAAGCAGAAATGAAAAACCTAATCTAACCTCACCTAACCTACCAACCTACAACCTACAACCTAACCTACAACCTAAATTGACTTATATACCACATAACCTTACCAGACTCAACAAGTGGTTGGGTGTAATTCATAAATGATTTGTGTGAAAAGTATCCTAAGTATGTATGTGTGATCTTACTTTTATACCTTAGAAGGATGTGTTCTTTCTTTTTATGATTTTGTTTGTAAATTTTTTCAGTTTTAAAAGAGTGCAAAAGAGGGAAATGACCCACTGTAGAGTCGTGCAGTGAAACAGGGCCGTGGAGACTGGAGTAGGTAGCCCTTATCTGGTCTATTGCTGGAAAAATTTGAAGTTTGATCTTTTTCTGTGCAAAACTGATTTATTAGGTGAATAGCCTCAAATCCAAAATGCTGAGCTTCAAAACCACAAAATATGTCAGAATTGCATTCTAAGGTAGGTAAATGGTGAAACCTAGGGTCTTTGCCTATCAAAAGACCAACTCTGTTCAGTCAAAATATATTTATCCATGCTAAACAACATGAGATTTTTTATGATAATGCTGAAATGGGTGATAAGATCCCTTTGTCAATCCCACCATGTTGCAATTTGCATGCACATTGACACCCACACAATGTTTGCGCCTGATGTGCATGAAGTGTGGCATAATTGCAAATAACAAATAATGCATAAAATTTATAGAAAAGGTCTTAGAAAAAGTCAAGTCAATTAAAATCTCTAAAAGAAATCTAACCTGACCTAACATTCCCTACTAACCTACAACTTACTAGTTACTTACCTACAGTCTACTTATATGCAACCTAACCACCAGCTAGATCCTTCATTCTAAATTCTGCTGCATTTCAGTGTAGTTTCAACTCAAATTTTATCACATAAAACTGGTACCTTTTATCACATGAAACTGGTGCCTGCAAGGCCATCTATGGCGCATGTTATAGTGGTGTGTTTAGAATTTAGATCCTATAAGGTAGCACAAGGATACTCATCAAAGTGGGTTTTGGGTAAGTTTATCAAATTTTGATGTTTGAACTCATTTTGTATGAAATCTGACACACAATATTATTCCCATCATAAGTCATTTGGAATTGGAAGGTATCATCAGTATTGTCATGCTAAGCAATAAGCACCCCCATTCCATTGTTTTCAGACCAATTGGTCAAAAATTGAAGAAGTTACTGATATTTCAGTGGCACCACAGCACAGAACATTTATTTGAAAAACAACTTCTTGTTTTGACTTTACTTAGAAGTGGGAATTGCACTTTTCAACACTTTAAAACTGCTTCAGATAGAAAACTTTTTTGTTCTCAAAATCCAACTCTAAAATTTGGTCTTATCTGACAGCTGGCTTCACCTTGGCCTGAACTTGGCCTGGCCTCAACCTGAACTTCATCCAACCGTGGTCCAGATAGACTTCCATGCCTGGTTAAGGGTGTTTAAACACCCCCCCCCCTCCATCCCTTTCTAACTTGACTCCTGGGCCGTATAGTGACACATGGTAGGCTGTGTTTAAAAGGGCATTGAGAATATTGACCAAATTACTTTGATCATTTTTAGACTGGGTCAAAAGTTTCACCAAAAGTCATCAAAGATCAGGTTTCGCCTATTTCGGCAATTAAAACTGGCTCATAACTTGGAAATGTATAGAGCTACAGCACCGCAGAAAATGCATTGGATTGCCCTTTTAACTCTCATTCTGAATTATTTCCTCAGATTTGACCTAAGGTCATCTCTTTAGCCTGCAGCGGCCAAAAACTGCCAAAATAAACATTCTTGTGAAACTGCAGTAACTATTGGCTCAAAACTTGTGCGAGCTTTCTTTTACCGCCGTCGTGTTCCTGTTTCTGAGGGGTGTTCACGGGCACCGCACACTGCTGCGTGCGGTGTGTGCGGTGCGTCCAGCAGGCGTGGGGTAGGGGATGGGTAGGCGGCTCTGACGTCACGGCTGCGTGCGGTGGACGGTCCGCTGTGGCCAGTCCCGACCGGCCACAGCGGTCACGAAGGTACTGCATGCCATGCATCTGGCAGAGCTGACAATTGTTACCTGAGGGCTGTTCACGGGCCCTGTGTGCGGTCGGACCGCACACAGCCTCGAAGCTCCGCCCACTGCGTCCCTACGTCAGCCTTCCGTCACCGCACACAGCGATCGCTGTGGCCGGTCGGGACTGGCCACAGCGGACCGTCCACCGCACGCAGCCGTGACGTCAGAACCGCCTACCCATCCCCTACCCCCACGCCTGCTGGACGCACCGCACACACCGCAAGCAGCAGTGTGCGGTGTCCGTGAACACCCCTCTGCTCACATCATATAGTGACACCAAGAGCTGTCAGTTTGCAGTTCATAGTGAGTGATGATGCTACAGCACGTATAGCATTACAACTGTGGGATCGCTCCGGCCTTCTGCTCGTATTATCGCCCCGCCCACTGGTTGATAAGTACCTAGTTGATGCTGCTTTACCCACGTATCTGTTGTACGCTTTTACTTCTTTGATTGTGTACCGTCAATCACAACATTTAAAGCTGCATTCCGTTTTGAATGGAACCGGTGCTGTCCGTTATTGACGTCCCCCGGCTGACACCAACTGACCCTGATGTACAATACCTTTAGTGCTTAGGGGAGAGTGGGGAAAGATGCCCAGGGTTTTACTATGTCATATATTATTCAAAAATGACGATCGGAAAGCAAAAACTTGGAGTTTCAACGGAAGCCGACATCATTTTTCTCCAAAAATATCACACTTCCGTGCCTGAAATATGATAACTTTTTTTGCTATTAAGCATTTTCCTGAAGAAGTGAAAGGGGGCATCTTACCCCACAGGTTGGGAAAGACGCCCCCTGGCGTTGGGAAAGATGCCCCCTGCACTATAAGTGGCATAAATGGGCACGTGAATCGCCTGAGCGAATCAGTGGTCCCTTCGAGACTGCAGTAGACACCAAACATCATCGTAAGGGCCCTCAAAAGTAGTCGTAAGGGGCTTCAGAGGTCATCGTTAGGGCCATCATAGTCCAGCGCGGCCAAACAAGCCTCCGTGGTGGCGTTCGGAGACCACTGTGGGGCCCTTATAGGTCTTCATGATGCTTGAGGGCCCTCGAGCCCATCGTGGGGACCTCAGAATATGTCAGCGCGGCCCGTGGAGCCAACGTGGGAGCCCTCAAAGGATGTCGTGAGGGGCCCTGGAGCCAATAATGGGGCCCACAGAGGCCGTCGTGAGGGCTCTCAGAGTCAGATGCCGCCCAAAAAGTCGCTGTGTGTGCCGAGAGACCGGCATGGGGAGCACCCGACCGTACTGGACTCTCAATAGTCCCAGATCGGCTTTTGTCTCTCATCACAAGTATGTAATAAATGATTTGACGGGCTGCTTGAAGGACAGCCTACGGATTTAGGGGGGCGTCTTTCCCCATCAGGACAGGGGGCATCTTACCCCAAGGTACCGAATCAACATTAAATCAGTACAATTTGTTAGCCATAAAACTGCACCCTGAAACAAACTGTTAGGGACACAGTACACGCATGTTAATGTATCACGACTATAGCAAGGGACTCAAAAATTATCTACCCTCTTTGATATTTACAATGTTTTGACACCAAAATATTTTTTGAAAGCAGCAAATAAAAAACATGCAATCACCAGCTAGCCGTTGCCCAACTGAGCTTCGCAAATTTTTGTGCAGTTAACAAGGCAGGCTTCCGCTTTACGCTAAGAACATTAATTTCCAGGTTCGATTCTTTGTTTCGCCGCTAGAGGGGGTGGGGCGTCTTTCCCACCCTGGGCATCTTACCCCACTCTCCCCTATAGACTGTAAAGTGCCCTGGTATATGTAATGTCGGTGACTTGCCGTATCATACCTACTTCTCCGGTAATGACTGGCAGTACGCTGTTACACCTCCCCGTAAGAGCGACCGACCTTGTGGTTCTCTTCCGTTCGTGGCCAACAGGACGGCGACTGACCGTCCCCCCCCCCCCCCTACAGGCGTACCGCAAGCTGGCCAAGGAGTTCCACCCGGACAAGAACCCCGAGGCGGGCGACAAGTTCAAGGAGATCTCGTTCGCCTACGAGGTGCTGACCGACCCGCAGAAGCGGCGCATCTACGACACACAGGGGCTGCGCGGCCTGCAGGAGGGTGGCGGCGGCGGGCACGACATGAGCGGCTTCGGCGAGGACATCTTCAGCCACTTCTTCGGCGGCGGCCTGGACGGCATGTTCGCCGGCATGGGCGGCCGCCACCGCGGCCCGCGCCGCGGCGAGGACACCGTCTACCCGCTCAAGTAGGTGGCGCTACCGGCGGCGGCGGAGCGAGGGGCGGCTGGGAGGGAAGCGATAGCCCGCCTGCGGAGTTGCCTGGTCATCACATCAAGATCAAGTTAGCGAGTTAAGCGAGACATTGTTCTGTTTTTGCCTTAGGAATTAGCTTTCCTTTGTGATGACTTGATGAGTAAGTCACGAGAAGTGGCAGCTGGGAAATACCACTTCCGGAGAGTCCTGTCGACTCGTTACTATCACAGTTCTGGTATAAAACCAGTAAAACGCCTTTTGGGCGAAGAACGAGCGAGCGAGATAGTGAGCCCTGCACGTGCGGAAGGGCGAGAGGGTGCTTCCAACGGGCATGCGCAAAGCACCCTTCTAACTGGTCGCTAGCGGTGTGCCAAATTTGAACGCAATCGGCCCAGCCGTTCCTGAGATCTGGAAGCGGCATTCTGCACGTGCGCACGTGCAAACGGGGTCCAAAATGACTTTTGCACGGCACCCTACTAACTGGTCCCCAACCGTGTACCAAATTTGAGCGCAATCGGCCCAGCCGTTCTCGAGATCTGGAAACGCCCCCTGCACGTGCGCACGTGCAGTAGCACCCTAACCGCAACACATGGGAATGCATTGCCTGGTGGGTGCCTACCTGTATGCCAAGTTTCAGCGAAATCGCCCCAGTAATTACCGAGTTACGGAAATGGGAACAAATTTGGCACCTCTTATTGTTGTATTTTGCACGTGCACTGGGGGTGACCCACATGCATCGAGAGTATCCTAGTTTGGGTAGAAGGGATGCTGCTACCCTACAAAAATTACCGCAAGTCAATCGCTCAAGCGGCTGCTGTGATATGAGCCTCTCAAAATCACTACTTTTGCAAAACAGCTTGAACACCCTTGACTTTTCACGTGGCACGTGCCACGACGGTCACTGAGATGTATCAAAAGTAGTCAATTACGGGGTAGAAGGGATGGGGCTACCCAACAAAAAAGGACGCAGGCCAATCGGTCCAGCGGTTGCTGAGATATAAGCCTCTCAAAAGCGTTACAGGCCGGGCCGGGCCGGGCCGGGCCGGGCCGGGCCGCTCATACTGAGATTTTTCCGTTATATTGAAAAGACTCACTTCGCTCGCTGCGCTCGCTCGCTCGTAATCACTGCATGTAATCTACCTAATCCGGCCCAATAATCCCCGAGGGCTGTTCATGGGCACTGCAAACTGCTGAGTGCGGTGTGTACAGCAGGAGTGGCGGCAGGGGATGGGTAGGCGGTTCTGACGTCACACGGCTGCGTGCGGTGGACCGCAAACAGCCATCGTTGTGGCCAGTCCCGACCGGCCACAGCGATCGCTGTGTGCGGTGACGGAAGGCTGACGTAGGGACGCAGTGGGCGGAGCTTGGAGGCTGTGTGCGGTCCTACAGCACACATGGCCCGTGAAGAGCCCTCTGATGATGACAGCTGACCTGACCCCCTCTCTACCATAGGTTCACATCGGAGGCTGCAGCAGTTACTGACCCCCTCTCTACCACAGGGTCACACTGTGGGCCGCAGCAGTGTCTGACCCCCTCTCCACCGCAGGGTCACACTGGAGGCCGCAGCAGTGACTGACCCCTCTCTAACGCAGGGTCACACTGTAGGACCTGCAAGGCGTCCAGGCTGTAGCAGTGACTGACCCCTCTCCACCGCAGGGTCACACTGGAGGACCTGTATAACGGCAAGACGTCCAAGCTGCAGCTGAGCAAGTCGGTGGTGTGCGCGGCGTGTGGCGGCACGGGCGGCCGCTCGGGAAAGGCGCCCGAGCCGTGCCGCGGCTGCCACGGACGCGGCATCAAGCTGCACACGCGCCAGATCGGGCCCGGCATGGTGCAGCACAAGCAGGTCATGTGCTCCGACTGTCACGGCGAGGGCGAGCTGATGAATGAGCGCGACCGCTGCCGCGCCTGCCACGGCCAAAAGACCACCAGCGAGGTCAAAATACTGGAGGTACGCACGGCGGGCAGTCGGTCGGCACAGCATTATGGGAGGGTTGAAATGGGGGTATTGGGCAGGCCGTCTATAAAATGCCGTCCTGGCTTGATCCGGCCTCGTATGTCATGAGCTGTCTCTATATCACAAAACATTATTTCGTTGCATTTACTCCGGTACTTTTTTCAGTTAGTTTTAGCAGCGTTGTTTATTTTATTGAGACTGCAGCTCTCCATGGGAATCTCAGATCTGCAGTTGCTAATTTTTCCTGTTCATGTGATGCATGTTTAGCGAGTGATAAAAAGCATTGGACATATTATGTTGCCTTTATTATTTGAGTGTTGCCTGGTATGCTTAGCAACTCAACCCAACAACTCATTTTCCCTAAGGCATTACCTGCTTGCATCTCTTCTCTTTATGGTGTTGTCTTTAATCCAGACAGGTCCCGTCACCGCCACGGCTCTGTGTGTGTCGGAGACAGGTCCCGTCACCCCGTATCTCTCTCTGTGTCGGAGACAGGTCCCGTCACCCCGTGTCTCTCTCTGTGTCGGAGACGGGCCCCGTCACCCCGTGTCTCCCTGGGTGTCGGAGACAGGTTCCGTCCCGTGTCTCTGTGTGTCGGAGACAGGTCCCGTCACCCCGTGTCCCTGTGTGTCGGAGACAGGTCCCGTCACCCCGTGCCTCTCTCTGTGTCGGAGACAGGTCCCGTCACTCCGTGTCTCTCTGTGTGTCGGAGACAGGTCCCGTCACTCCGTGTCTCTCTGTGTGTCGGAGACAGGTCCCGTCACCCCGTGTCTCTATGTGTCGGGGACAGGTCCAGTCCCGTGCCTCTGTGTCGGAGACAGGTCCCGTACCGTGTCTGTGTGTCGGAGACAGGTCCCGTCACCCCGTGTCTGTGTGTCGGAGACAGGTCCCGTCACCCCGTGTTTCTCTGTGTGTCGGAGACAGGTCCCGTCCCCCCCCCCCCCGGTGTCTCTCTGTGTGTCGGAGACGGGCCCCGTCACCCCGTGTCTCCCTGGGTGTCGGAGACAGGTTCCGTCCCGTGTCTCTGTGTGTCGGAGACAGGTCCCGTCACCCCGTGCCGTGTCCCTGTGTCGGAGACAGGTCCCGTCACCCCGTGCCTCTCTGTGTGTCGGAGACAGGTCCCGTCACTCCGTGTCTCTCTGTGTGTCTCCTCAGGTGCACGTGGACAAGGGTATGCGGGATGGCCAGAAGATCTCGTTCCGCGGCGAGGGGAACCAGAAGCCCGGCATCGAGCCCGGCGACGTGATCGTGGTGCTGCAGCAGGTGCCGCACGAGGTGTTCCAGCGGGAAGGGCACGTGAGTAGCGCCACAGGCACACGGCGCTCAGCTGCTGGCTGGCCGCTCCGTGGGCTGTATTCTATTTATTGATGTTATCATGTGTTATTGTCAAATTCCCCTCGGCAATCAACCGTGTGGCTTCCTGGCAGTCTGACGGAAAGTTTAATTCGCGTTGCATGAAAACACCAGCAACTCATTGATGACATGTACAGCAAAGCTGTTCTTTTTGGATGATGGACGAGATCTCCAAAGTTCCAGTGAATCACTCATGTATGTAATTCCAACACAAAATGGGGCTGAACAGTGAACAGGGTGAGTACGAACACAATGAGCGGGCAAATTTGAGCGCAACACGATCAACGAAGTGAATCCACATCACAGCTAACACCCTCCTTAGAGTATTTGGTACTCATGCGTCGGTCTTCAGGTACTCTGCGGAAGACTGCAGGAAGAGTTGTATGTTCTTGGCGTGATATTTTGGTCTATGACAAAGACGTCGTCCATTGCTTATACTGAGGCGGGTTCCTGCTCCACTTTCTTCTCTCTGGGTTTAATGATTCTCTTCCATACACGCATTTGATCCTAGAGATGCAAACATGGGAGTTGGGAAAGACATGACTGAACAGCAGCTAAACTGAAGCATCCTGATTGGGAAGGATGACAGGTGTTTTCTCGCGTGGCCATTCTCGCGTGGCTGACTACTGTTGCCGTCTGCTTCAAGCGTCCAAGGTTGAGTCGAAATGAACATCTGTTTATTGGGTAATTGCAAAGTTGGGCTTAGCTCGGTCTTCCCGTTTGGGGTCAAGGTATATTGAGAGCTCAAAACTTTGCAGAAAACAAAAATAAAACACAGGTTTCGGGACACGTTGACGAATTAACTACATCATTTATGTAATTACTTAGCGCGTTAGAACTGATTCAGTTCGAAATATCTGCGTGCGAGCATGGTACTCAAGTTCCAAATGTATCGTCATTGTATCTCCTGAAGCAACTGAAGTTCATGATTCTGCAACAAGAACTGACGATTCGGTGCGGTGCTTTTAGTTATCGGGTGCGGCGATGAGCTGCGGCCGTCAGTCGCCGTGGGTACGAACCAGTCACCGTGGGTACGAACCAGTCACCGTGGGTGGACCCCCCTATGATGTGTTCGGCTGGAATACCTCGCGGCTACCCCCAGCGGCAGGCAGACTGTCCCTGGCTGGGAGGGTTTCCGCGGATTGTCCCGTGGTGTCCCCCCTTCTGTTGTCCCGGCGGCTGCGCTGCGCCCGCCGGAAGCTGACGGCGTGTCGTGGCCTTCCCCTGGCGGCTCCGGAGCCGCGGCGCCCGTCCGCTCTGGCTGCGCTGACCGGCGGGATGTGGTAAAGATAGCCGGGCGAACGGCGGACGGCGCCGCTGGCGTTCGACCCTAGTCGCGTCAGTCGGCGCAGGAGCAGTCTGGTGTCTGGGTGTCTCAGCGGGACTCGGCGCGGGAACAGTCTGGTGTCTGGGTGTGCCAGCGGGACTCGGCGCAGGAAAAGTCTGGCCTCAGGGTGTCAGCGTGTGTCAGCGGCTGTCGGCGTAGCAGTCGGGTGTCAGCGTGTGTCTGGTCCCCGCGGCTCTCCGGTCCAGAGGAGAGCGCCATGAGTGGCCGGGTGGCCGGCTGGGAGCGGCGGCTGGGCGGCGGCCTGGCGCCGCCCGCGCCCACCCGCGGTCCGGGCGGCTGCCTGCCGCGGCCGCCGTCCGACCTGCCCGCGCCCGAGCCGGGTCGGCCGGCGCGCGGCGCCGCCCGGGGACAGAGGACGGCCGAACGGCACGCCGTGAACCGCAGCGGCTCGTCGGCCAGCGATACGGCCGTCCACAGCGGGCAGCGGTGGGCGCGCGCCGCGCCGCTGCCGTCCGCGGAGTCTGCCGGAGCCGCGCCGCCGCGACCGCCGAAACCGAGCGGCCGGCACCCGCCGCGGCCGCCGGGGCTCGGTCGCCGATCGACCAGCCCCGCCCCAGCCGTCGAGCAGGAGTACCTGGTCATGTGTAAGCCGGGCGCAGATGGGGACCAGCGCTATATGACCATGAACGCACCCGAATCGGACCCGGGTTACATGACCATGAATGGACTCGAATCGGACCCGGGATATATGGCCATGAATGGACTCGAGTCGGACCTGGGGTATATGGCCATGAATGGATATGAAGTGGACCCGGCCTATACGACCATTGACGGGGCTGCGTTCGAGGAAGACTACATCGATATGAGCGGGCCCGAATATCTGGCAATGGAGCGGCAGTATCCACCAGCAGCGCCAGAGCCGAGCGCAGTCAGTCCACCGGTGCCGGTGAGGAGGGCGGCCGACCCCAGGCCGCCGCGTCTCGTCCCCACACAGGCCGTCAGAGGGGCGCCGGACCAGTCGCGGCTGCCGGTCAGAAGGGCGGCGGGCTCAGAGCCGCCTCCTGTCGCCCCCGCGCCGCCCGCCAGGAGGCCGGCAGAGCTTCAGTCGCGATTGCCCGTCAGAAGGGCGGCGGGTCCGCAGTCACATGAGGTAGCTCCCGCCGTGCCCGCCAGAAAGCCGGCCAACTCCCAGCCGCTGTCGGCTGCTCCCGCCGTGCCGTCCAGGTCGGCAGGTGTACCCCCGCGGCCCGCCGGCGCTGCCGCACCTATCAGAATCACGGAGCCGCCGCCGCGGGCCGCCAGTCCGGCGCGCTCGGTGACCGCTGCCTTTGGCTGGCACGCCGATCCGCCGTCACCGGACGCTGCCGCGGAGCGCCGGATGAAGCAGCGGTCGACCGAGCTGTCCGGGTCGCCGCCGTCCCTGCCGCCGTCCCCGCCGCCGCCGCCGCTGTCGCTGGCGCTGGCACAGGCGCTGCAGCGCCGCCAGGCGGCCGGCAGGCTGTCGGTGCGCGGCGCGGACCCGCTCGGCTCCTCCTGCTCTCTGTCGTCGATCGGCTCGAGCACCTCGCTGCAGGAGCGCGCCACCGCCGGTCTGGACCGCTCTGCGAACCGGCACAGCACGGAGTCGGAGCCGGACCGCGCCGACCAGCGGCCCTGGTACCGCGACGTGCACCGCGGCCGGGCCGAGCGCCTGCTGCACGGCCGGACCGACGGCTCCTTCCTCGTGCGGCCCACCACCAAGCCCGGGTGCGTGGCCACGCTGTCCGTGGCGCTGGCGGGCGGGTGTCGTCACCTGCCGGTCCGCCGGCGCGCCGACGGCCGGCTGGCACTCGGCCAGGCCAAGGAGGACGAGGCGTCGTTCGACTCGCTGGACGGCATGGTGGAGTTCCACCGTGACCAGCCGCTGGTGGTGCTCGGCGTGGCCTCCACTCGGCTGACGCGCACCGTGTAGTGCGCCGGGTCGCCGCTCCCCGGGTTTGTCGTACGGCGTGGGCGGGCCGCCGCGCTGTCGGCCCCGTCTCGCAGTCCGTGGGCCGGAGCGGCGGCTGCGGGCCGGTCCGGGAAGTCCGCCGCGGTGGCGGGCCCTCGCCGCCGTCCTCTGGATTGTCCCGGTACGGAGCTGCGCGGTGGTGATAGCGCGCGGGGGGACTCCGGAAAACTGGCTGTGCCCGACCACCCGGCTGGGTTTGATGAGCGCCGGATTTTGACTGCCTTTGGTTGGGGTTTATTTTCATGCGACGTCGTTATGCGGTGAATCACATGTATGAATTACATGTATGTGACTTTTATTCACTGCCTATAATGTTTGTGTTCATTCGTAAATCTCCTGATGATAAGATCAGGTTTGTGTGATAGGTAGCGTATGGTGGTTTCCACCGTTTCATCAACCTTAGTATGGCTAAGCACACATCGGTGCACTTTTCTTCCCATTGTCAACGGCTTCCTTGCCTTTATTTCGACGACTTTTGCGCGTTGTTCCTCGTGGTCGTAAATGTATGCATGTGCTAATCATAAGACATCCGCAAAAATAAACGGTTCTATAGAAATAAATAAAGGTACATATCATTATTTTTATTTATGTTGCTCATCTTCAACACTCATCCGTTGGGAATACACCTGTTGCATAGTCGCCTCCGGCGTCTTCCACTCGCAAAATTCGGGCTGAATTAAGTCACCAGTGGTCCAGTTGGATGTCAGTTGGGCGGCGATCGTCCGCGGTTCCACGTTCGACAGCCGGCGGCCGAACTCAACCGGGAAGCTATAGGTCTGGTACCATGCATGAGGGGATGGCTGTGGTTAGGGCCAAACACTGGCTGAGAGACTTTTGTGCTTGGGACGAGCATACGTTCATAGCTTTCTGTAAGTATGCTGTCGAGGTCATATTTAGGCCCAGAAAGCACAATAAGTGGTAAATACACGCCCGTCCCATGCCTTGACGACCATCCCACTGACGCGACGCTGCGGCGAGCCGAAAATATGCTCGCCGGGGATATATTCACATTGGCTGAGCTTCGGCCCGACTCAGGCTCTGTTTACGCTTATGTCGGACCTTGACCGGTGTTGACACATCTATTTGTGCGCGCCGGTTCCATCACAGCGGCGGCAGCGGCGGCGTTTGCTCTATCATCAGAATGGGTGGGAATAGTCAGCGATGCACATTTCAAACTCAATGAGGCACTGGGTGTTCGGTCTCCCACAGGATCTGTACATGACCAAAAAGACCTCTGTGTTCACTCCTTCCCTCTACTTCGCCCGCAGGATCTGTATATGACCAAGAAGATCTCTAGGTTCACCGCTTCCCTCTGTCTGCCCGCAGGATCTGTACATGACCAAGAAGATCTCTCTGACGGAGTCGCTGTGCGGATTCCAAATCCCGATCAAGCACCTGGACGACCGAACTGTGGTGATCTCCTCAGAGCCGGGCACAGTGCTGGCGCCAGGTGAGAGCTGAGGGGACGACCCCAGAGGGAACGGTGCTGGCGCCAGGTGAGAGCTGAGGGGACGACCCCAGAGGGAACGGTGCTGGCGCCAGGTGAGAGCTGAGGGGACGACCCCAGAGGGAACGGTGCTGGCGCCAGGTGAGAGCTGAGGGGACGACCCCAGAGGGAACAGTGCTGGCGCCAGGTGAGAGCTGAGGGGATGACCCCAGAGGGTACAGTGAGAGGTGAGGGGGGTGAGGGGGCGACTCCAGAGGGCACAGTGCCGGCGCCAGTCTCACCTGAGGTCTCACCTGAGGTGAGACCCGAGGTTGGATTGAGAGAGTATGGTGAGTGCAGTCGGGGACTGGCCCGGAGAAGGCAGTGCTGGCCCCAGGTAAGAACGGAGGGCGGCCTTGGGGGTACGGTGAATGGGGGGGAGGGCATAGGACACCTTGAACGCTGGGGCGGCTCCAGAGGACACAGTGAGTTATGAGAGCGGCCCCAGACGGAACTCGAGACCCGATGGGCACAATGCAGAGACGTGAGGACCCGTAAGCAATTTCAGGACTGGAGATTGGTAGATTGGCGCGGGTTTCCATGTATGATAGACGTGTTGTGGTCTGTGGACAACAGCGTTAAATTACGGACAGCATGCTGGGCGCTTAGCATTTTCATCTGGTTACTTTCTCGCCATTTCCCATAAGTACTTCAGTTTAGTGTCAATATAGATGTAACAACTGAAATGTACGAGCAACTGAAATGACGATGTTAACTGAAATTCAGCTGAAATGACTGAAATGTAACAACGTGAAAAGTTCATCTTTGGCGAGTGCGTAAGTGAATTGAACCTTTCAGGTTAGAACTGCGTTGCCCAGTTCTCTATGTTTGTACCCGGGTGCCTTCGTTGATTTCCGAGTATGGTGTCTATCCCCACCAGCGGTGTGCTGCCCGCTCCTCTGACCGGTCGCTGTGCCCCCAGGCACCCGCCGCGGTGTGCGCGGAGAGGGCTTCCCCATCCACCGCTCGCCGTTCGACAAGGGCAACCTGTACGTGCGCTTCGACGTCGACTTCCCGGAGAACCAGTGGGCGCCCGAGTCGGTGTACCCGAAGCTGGAGCCGCTGCTGCCGCCCCGGCCGGCCTTCACCAAGCCGAGCGGCGCGCACGTCGAGGACGTCCACCTGGACGACTTTGACCCCAGCTCGCAGTCACGGTGAGGGCACGGTGCTGCGACGGTGTGTCAGGGGTTCAGGGTTCCCGGACTCGGAGGTTCCCGGACAGTTATCCCCCATCGCCGGAGGGGGCGATGGGGGATACCTGGGGAAGGACTGGAAGGGGCTCCCGATGCTTGCATACGCCGGGGGTTTTGTTTCTCGTTCCCAGGAATGGGTGTTGATATGGTGGTATAAGTGAGGTGGTATGAGCTGGTTGACGCAGCTGCTCTCGTCAGCGACCTGCGGACCTTAGGGACTGAGAGTCCCAGTGGCAGTGTGACAATCTGGATCCGTCTGTCCGTCCCTTCGTCCGTCCCTCCGTCCGTCCAGCTGTCTGCTTGTGAGGGTCTATGAGTCGGTCTGGTTGTGGGCTTTGTTGATTCACGGCTGTTAGTTCGTATGTTGGTCCCTCAGTATGCCCATGTCTACCCATGCTGGAGGCTGTTCCGTTTCTCCTCCACCCGAACCACCGCTGCAGCCCCGGCCAGCTGCGAGGTGCTCCGAGCGGGCTAACCCCACGGCCGGTCACATGTCTGACGTTACATCACCCCACGTGACGTAGCGCCCCTCACCACCTCCTTCCTCCCCCACGCCCGCCGGAGGCTCCTTCAGCAAAGTTCCACCGACCCGAGGGCTCCGCTGGGTAACCAGGGCGTTTCCTGTTTGTCACTCTCCGCAACCCTTCGGCCGGGTGCTCTGCGGTTTGGTCTTATAGTGATAGCTGTTGTTTTGTACGGATGGCAGTGAAAATATTGGGTCGATGTTGGTGGTAGATATTGTGTCGTTTTTTATCCTGGCTTTGTGTTAGATCTTAGCATGCCCGTACCCTGTTGTCGCGACTTAAAAACAGATAGCCTGTTTCGATAGATGACCGATGAATGCAGAGTTAGGTGATGCTTCGACGCTGGTAGTGGGTGAACTAAAATAACCAAGACATCGACCTACGTCCCCCCATCAGCGTCACCCGGACTGTTGGTGGTTTGGCGCACCTTTCCCCTACTGAGTTCACGGCCAGTCTCCCCGCTGTCGCCCCCTTCCACTGCCGCACGGTCCCCCGCCCCCACTGACGCAGCCCGCATTCGCTGTCACCGCCGCCAGGTCGAGCCGGGCAGAGGCGTACGACGAGGATGAAGAGATGCACGGCGGCCCGGGCGTCCAGTGCGCCCACCAATAGCACCGCTCGGCCGTCGCCCGACTAGGAAGCGAGCCCGCGCCGCCGGCCGGCTCCGGCGTGAGGCCGCCCGCGCTAGTGGAGACGCTCAGGCGGCGTCAGCGGCGTCAGGTGACGTCTGGGTGATGTCGGGAACGTCAGGTGACGTTAGGAGATAATGTGTCGAGTGAGGCGCCGCCGGCGGATGGCTGTGCTGCCGTAGCGGCGCTGGGCGGGACGCGCCGACTGCGGTGCGTCGGGGACCGGTGACGGCTGCCGCGGCCCGACCGGCCCGACTGGAGCAGACAGGGTGGCGCCCCGGTGCTGGAGAGAGGGGTGAGAGGGAGAGAGTGGCGGCAGGTCGGGCCGTGCTGCCGGCAGCGCGAGCCGCTTAGAACCGCCCGGCTGGGACCGGACAGACTGAACAGCGGCGGCTGGCGGATCAGGAACAGAGAGAGGCTGGTCGAACGGAGACGGCGACTTCAGGAAGCGCCCGGCGGTAAGGCCGGGGTACGCCGGGCGAACCGGGTACAGCTCTGGCCCGGTGGACAGTGCGGGGAGGATGGAGGGGTGGCCGGCCCCCAGTGGAGACGGGCAGCGGACGGACACTGCGCGGCGTACCGCGCTGACGATATAAAGCACGCCAGTCGGGACTGCGCGTGGGCGGCGCGCGCTCCCATATTTGTGGGCGCGCGTCCGTGTATGTATGCGTGTGTGTCTGTGTGTGAGGGCGAGCCAGACTGATCGTACGAGCGGGAGAGACCGGCCGGGGTCCATGTGTGACCCGACAGGGCGTGGGCGACCGCTGCGCCCGGCGAGACGTCGAGCCGAGTATATTCGTTTTCGTTCCATGTGCACATAAATTGGCGATGCTGCGCTCCAGGAGTGTTGTCCGTACCGTTCCCCCGGTCAGACTGCTGTGCGACTGCTGTGTCTGTGCTGTAGGTAACCCGCGCATTGACCCGGCACACTCACTGGGTCGCCCAGGCAGCACGATCATGTGTGCGACGCTGCCTGTTTTATAGGTTGCCGGTGACAAGTTTATGTAAGCACGTAGGTTGATTGTCCCGGCCTGACTATCACTGGTATGTTTGTCTTCATGCCACTTGACTGGTTCTGTATATGAAACTCCTTTCTCAATAAATCTAGCAGTGTTGATCTTGGAGGGTTAAGTGTGAATCTCCTCGAGTATAAGAGCATTGGGACTGGTCGACTGATTCCACTCCTTGCTGTGGATGCTAACACGATCACAATTATCTCGCGCTGTAGAAATGTAACACTGCTTGATTGGCGTGTAAAATTCGCCAGTGACGCCTCCCCTGGGAGTTTGGAGAGGTGAATTCGTGAGCTGACGTCACAGCGACTGGGTTTGACGCGAGCGATGGCTGCTGGCCAGCTACATCGAAGTCAGTGGGTGCGGATCCGACGCGGCCTCGTCTGGCCGGGGTTCGTCACAGCTGTTATACTGACACACAGAAGGGAATGTCTCCCGTTTAGAGCCAGGTGGATTGTGGAGGGCTTAGCGGAGAAAAAGTGAAGTAGGTTAAAACGACTGGCATCAGTCAGAGTGCTTATCGGACTGCAGTAGACAGTTTGTGGTCAGGGTACAAAAAAAAGACTAGGACGAGCCCGGTACTCCACAGAGGACCGCGGATCGGGGGCTACCTCGGGTGATGCAGACCGCGTATCACGGGCCGGTCCGGTTCCAGCGCGACTCCTGCGTCGTTCCGTCGGAATCACCCCGCGTCCGGTCGCAGCGTCTTATCAGTGACGACACCGGCGGGCGGCGACTGTGAGACAAAATCCGGCGCCACGTCACTGGGGGTGTATATTTAGCGCGCGATCGACACGTATAGCTGAGTCAGGCCGGCCCACGCTCCAAAACGTACAGCCATCACGCGCGCGGGCCGCGCTCTTTGGTCTGGACACGGTACACTTTTCGGCAGGCTCAGCTGACGGCCGTGGTCAGCTGACTGCGCGTGCCGTCAGCTGATTACATATCACAGCAGGCCGGCGGGACCGGGCGGGGGCGGCCCCGCCCTGACCCCTCCGGGGCGCCCATAGGAACAGTGGACGGTGGTTGGCCGAGGAACGGCCTCGGCAGAAACGTCCGGCGGCTTTTTGATATGAGCAGATCACATCACACTCCTATTTACATTGCACAGTTGGTAAGCGTTGGAACTCGTCGGTCCACGCATACGTCATCAAACACAGCGCCCTCCACACATAGTGTGGATCACAGGGTAGGGGACGGCCCAGTCCCGTCACCGGAGCTCGCTCCCCACGGGGGTTCGTCACGGACCGGGTCTGTGGTCAGTCCAAACGGTACAACACTGGCGTCACTATCCGTCCTCTGCCCATCACAGCGGCACGGACTGGACCCTGAGCTCCCTCCCCTCAATGAGGCCGCCGCGCGGTCCCTCAGCGGAGACTACCCTGAGCTCTTCCCTCTCACTGGCGCCGGCTGGGGGCTGTCCGGCGGTCCTTCAGCGGAGACTACCCTGAGCTCTGCCCTCACTAGCGCCGGCTGGGGGCCGCGCGCTCCCTTCCCCTCACTGAGGCCGGCTGGGGGCCGCCGCGCGCTCCATTCCCTCACTGGCGCCGGCTGGGGTCTGTCTGGCGGTCCCTCGCCTCCCAGCGGCCCCGGCAGCGGCTCAGCAGCACGGACACACCGCTGCCGGAGCGGCTGCCGGCCGGGGACCGCCGCCACGGGCCGCTAGTCGGCCGCCAGAGGGTCCTCCAGCGGCTCCTGCGGCATGTCCTCCTCCTCCTCCTGGGTATCCTCCTCCCGGTCCTCTCCCGCCTGCTCGCCGACCTCAGCCGTCTCCGCGGCCGGACTGTCCTCCTCGGCGGCGGCGGCGTCTTCGACTTCCTCCGCCTCCATTTTGACATCACCGTCACCATCCTCAGCCACCTCTGTCGAGTCGCCGGCGTCGGCATTCTCTGCTGCATCCTCTACGGCTTCTTCTGTGGCTTCCTCTGCCACGTCGTCAGTCTTGTCTCCATCGGGGAGATCACTGGCCTCCTCGTCCTTCACCGCCGCGTCCTCGGCGTCTCCGCCCGCCACCTCCTCCTGGTCCGGCTCCTGGTCGGGTGACGCCTCCTTCTCCTTACTCTCCAGCTTCACCCTCTTCTGGTCGGGCTCTTCCTCAGCCCGGTCTGCAGTCTCGCCGTTCTCGGCGCGTTTCTCGCTGACAAAGTCGCCGGTGAAGACGTCCACGAGCACGGGCGGCTCGCCGGGTGTCAGCTCCGGCTCCGGTCGCGTCTCGTCCCAGTCGGAGGCGGCGAACAACACGTCGTGCGTGGAGACGTCCACGTCCTCACAGGCGTCCTCCAGAATCTCCTGAGGGGGAACAGGTCAGTGTCAGAGGGTGGTTTATGGTCACAGAAAAGCAAAACTTAATTGATGAGGTAAGATAAGTTTGAGGAGCTTTCATGCAAACAATGAACAAAAGCATGACGAATGAAGTCGCGGAGCGGTTATATGGACGTTGACTTTACTTTTTTATCCCAACAAATCTTGAGTAGTCAATACGAAAAAGTATGAAAGTAAACTTAAAAAAAAAAAAACAGCGCTATCACTCGGAACAATAACTCCAACACCATTCCATCCAGCTCCCCGACACAGTTTTGAAGCCCCGAGAGCACTCACGGCGTCCTCCTCCTGCACGTTGACCTCCTTCATGAACACCTCCAGCTTGACGAGCTCCGTGTACGACTCCACCTTGATGTACTTGCAGGGTCGGAAGTGGACCTTGTAGTGGTCGCGCATCAGGTGGCTCTGCTGGGCGGAAAAGTCGCAGTAGCCGCAGCTGATGGGCCCGCGCGGACCGCCGTAGAACAGGTGACGCCACCGGTGGTTCTCGGTCGTATCGCGCCGTACGTTGGCGTACGGACACAGCTCACACCAGTGCACCTTGCGCGGCGGCTCAGAGTCCTCTGCAACAGGGCGGATCAGCGGTCAGGTGCGGCCCAATGGGAGCGAGTGCTTCGGACCGGGTTACAGTCCCAATGCGATTTTTACGACGATGAAGCGTCAACCAGAGGCAGAAAAGCATCGGATTGTAGGAGACGAGTTACCGTGAGAAACATGTGGGCTGGTGTTCCGATTTATTATATCGATTTTAACATCACATGGGTACTGGGTACCAGTCTCGCCATCTTCCAGACTCGCCAGTCCCCACTGTAGCCCAAAGCCGTGCGCCCTGTGGCCCGCGCTCGCCCTCAGCGCTATCCCCCCCCCCTCAGTCTCCCTCCCCTCCCCTCCCCACCACCGGTTCCCACTCACCCTTGAGGGCGTCTTGTTCCTCCCTGACGCGCTGCAGCACCAGCTGCTGCCGCTCAGCCGTGGTCAGCTCTGGCGCGCCCGTGAAGGCGGCCCCCCTGCCGCCGGCCGGCCGCGGCGACTCGCCCCCTGCTCCGCCGGGCCGCGGCGAGTTGGATCCCGAGTCCTGGCCGGAGACGGTGGCGCTGGCCGCCTCGTCCATCGGCGGCGGCCGGATGCCGTGCCGCTTCATGTGGTTGCAGAAGTTGGGGTAGTATTTGACAGAGTAGTCGCAGATGGAGCAGGTGTAACGGTTCTGCACGCCGTGCAGGTTGATGTGCTTGATGTACTGCTCGCGCTTCTCGAAGGCGGACGGGCAGCGGCGGCACTTGTAGCGTTTCTCGCGCTCCCGGCCGTACCGGTCGAGCACGGTCGGGTAGGCGAAGTCCGGGTTTCCGGCCCGTTCAGCGTAGTACGGGCTGGCGGGGTCCATGCTGGGCGGCGCGAACCGCATCACCTTACGCGACGGAAGGTTGTTCTCGTTCAGCTCGCCCAGGTGCTCCTTCTCGAAGTCCAGCTTGCGCTTCAGCAGGTCCACGCCGGACATGGGGAAGTCGTTGGCGGAGGCCCTGAAGCGGCCCACGTCGGCGTCTGGCGAGGACCGCCGGCTGCTGGTGTCGCCTGCCGGGATGGGCGGGAGGTTAGCAAGACTGGGTCATTGCAGCACGGTGGAGCGATCAGAGAAACAGTGTGGTTTACGCTATTGACAGTCGTGTGACTCATGATCAAAACTGATTGACAGACAAGTTGCCACAAAGGTAGCAAATGTTAAAAATCATGTCGTAAGACAGTCGTAAGACAAAGTATAGCTCTATCAATGGTTCCATATCGTTACGCGGCATTAATTTGGCGTGCTAACTTCGATGCTAATACCCGGACCGTCCGCAGACCGTGTCCTTTCCCCTACCCAGCGGCTGTGTGTCAGCCCCGTGCCCCCACGTACCGGCCAGGTCGGACTCTGTGTGCAGGTTCAGATGCTGTACTAGGTTGCCGTACGTCTTCACGGCATAGTTGCAGCGGTCGCAGCGGAACGGCCCGTTACTGCCGTGCAGTGAGATGTGGTAGCGCAGCGTGGCCTCTTTCACAAACCGCGCCGGACACTGGCTGCACGTGAACCGTTTCACCTTCCACGCCGTTTTGGGCGTCGGCGAGGCCCGGGAGGGGGAGGACCCTGCCCCAGCGGTGGGAGTCGTCTCGGGCTCCGTCCCGGCTGCTGGCGTGGTGTCGGCACCGGCCGCCGGCTGAGACGGACTGGCCGAGGGCGCCGGGACGTCCGGCAGGCCGGCCGCCGCCGTCACAGTGGCAGGGGAGGACGCTGTCCCCGGCGCCGGGGACGGGGTGGTCCGCTTGGGCGAGGAGGTCGCCTGTGACGCCGGCGGGGCTGGGGGCGCGGCCGGGGCGGCGCCGCGCGGCGGGTGGTCCGGGGAGCTGGTGTAGATGAGCAGCAGGGAGCGCGTCCGGTCACGGTACTCGTCCGAGTGCACCTTCAGGTGGGCCAACAGGTGCGGGTGCTGGCGCGCCGTGTAGCTGCACTTCTGACACGTGAACGGCAGGTTCATACCGTGGAACCGAGAGTGGATCTTGATCTCGTTGTCGTGGAAGAAGCGCGCTGGGCAGTGCTGACAGAAGTAGAGGATGCGCTGCGGGTCGGCCGCGCTCGCCGCGTCCGCGGCCGCCGTCGGGCCGGTGGAGGCAGTAGAGGTGGCCACCGGCGCCGGCAGCGACCTGTCCAGCACCACCTCCACGTCGCTGGCGGCGTCCTCGCCCAGGATCTCGCGCAGCTGCTCCTCGTCACTGCGCTTCATGTCCACCACGGCGTGGATCTTGCCAAGCC